TAAAGTTGCACGAGTATACATAAAATTGTTCGACAGGAAAAAAATTCATACGACATAGCTACATTACTGATTAAAAGTATTCAAACACTGTTTTTACAGCCCTCATGAAAATCCTCATATCTACTTTAAAACAAAAGCAATTTGTATAAAATATTACATGTTCCAGAGCGAGATTTTTCGCACTGTTCAGCAGTTATTTTAACTTACTATTTTAAACCGGAAGTACATTTTTAACCTAACAAGTGCCATTTACTACCTTTTTAAGTTTATTGTTTAATTGGGAGGATATATTGTGAGAGTATCGATGTTTTAGGAAGAATGAATAGTAAAGTGTTTGTATTTTTGAATAAAGATCGAATAGGGCCAGTAAGATGTGTATAGTTTTCATTGTCGATCAAATTATGGCCGGTCAAAAAAATAACAAAACATTTAAGCATTTTAAAAATTTATGTCCAACACTTTTTAAGTATGCCTTGTCTACAAGTATTTGGAATAGGTTCTCTTAATCTCAGTCAATATCTGCACGTGGTAATTTACAACACTAAAAGACCCACGTTGTCAGGTTTTGAATATTTAATGTTTTATACTCATTAAAAATTATGCACTTAAAAACTGTTCTTTGCACTAAAAGGCCTGATTATTCGGGAAAAGTGAAAAAAGTTCTAGCAATCAAATTAAACAGTCATGAATTGAATTTTAATTGAATTTTAAAAAAAGAAGTGGTAAATGCCACATCTTTGGTCATAAATCTGCTTGCGAGTGACCAATTAATTCCTAAAACTGCTAGGGAGTGCATAATATGACGCTCTAGAATCTAAAAATAGTCATGCTTTTTTGTGAGGGCCAAAAAGAGGTGTTTGAATACTCAGTACTGATCAGTACTGTATTTCAATTTTATGTCTTGAGCCTACATGTACAAAGTTTATATATTTTATATTCAGAATATCAAATCACTGAAGCCTAGCTCACATTTTAATGGTTGTTTAACGGTTCGTAGCGAGTAAAGGTTTTAGCACGAGATTAAGGAAAACGCTTTTTTTTTCCTTGTCAGGAAATTTTCGACAATTATAAAGAACGTTTCTTTACCGATTTTATTTCCTACGTCAGTACATGTACATAAAACTGGCTGTATCAAAAATGGTAATCAAACTTCAGCATGCAGTTGTGAGTGTTGTCGGAAAACTACACTATACTAAATAAATAAAGCATGCAGGGTCGAAACTAGGGCGATAATTCGGGGAAGGGGTGGTGATAATTTTTTTATATGATGTTCTGCCCAACGGATTTCTTTTGAAAACGCGCATACATATACAAAAGAGATCTGTCAGACAAAAGGATATACGAATATGTATCCCCCCCCAATTACAGTATCACATCTATAGTTTCGATCATGCAGAAAGCATAATTAATCAGAGCAAAAAAGTAAAAGAAAAAAACCCGTGCTGAATTAAGTTGCATTGCTGCTTAAATGTATAAGAATAGAAATTTCGGTTCGTTAATCAACCGGATAACTGTGCAGTAATATAATTTAGCAAAAAATAGTCTACATGCAATCTAGTATAAAGCCCCGTAGAGACGGACGAATTTTCCTTGACAAATTTTCCTTGCCAAGTTTTGTTTGCTCGTGCATTTGTACGCGAAATATTATCGCCCTTAGCAAACCTTATTAAATGATTGATAAAAAAAAACTTACCAGGTGTTTTGTATACTTTGAAAATATTGCGGCGAGTTTATCCGCATTGTAATCAGAACCTTGTGGAAGACAAAACTATATAAGATGAAAGGATTATCAAAATTCACCGTTAGAAATTGATATGGACCTCTCTGTAGCCTGTAGCAGTACCTAGGTCATCTCAATGAAGAGGTCAGATTCACTCTACCTATCAGGGCGTGCTCTGCTATAGTCTGTTATCTATATCATATAAGTTCACCTTGAGAACTTTTAAAACTATAATATGTCTATTTATATACGACTATATATAGGACATAAATCATTAGAGGCATCGTAATTGCCCGTATAGTAGGTAACAATTTGATTAAGAGACAAGTGAAATATGATATTGTTCAAATTGATTGTGTTGTCAGGTTTTATTGTTAAGTTCAGTACTCTATTTAAATATTACCAAACACAACAGAAATGGTAAGAAATCCAGGAAGCCATCCGTGCGGCAAGTGTGATGGCGTGTGCATGACGCGTTCATTTTGGAAAAACTATCCCTAGTAATACTTCTGATTATACATATTCTGTGAAAGAGAAGGTGCCATCTACGCTTTTTCATATAGAGGCAAAGCGCCAGAGAAGGTAATCACTTTACCTTATAAACCTGCAGAGTACTGCACATGAGCTCAATGCCATCACCAAACCCAAAAAATCTCGGGTCCTTCACGAGTGAGTTCTTAGGTAGTTTGTGAATATCGTAAACATTTGTACATGGAATAGATACGATGATGTCATGTTGAACAAGATCTGTGAAAGTATAAATGAAAATCACGCGTACATATGCAAACGTTTTAGGCCGATATTAGGGACCTTAAGCATGTAGGACGGCAACACGACGACGACGTGGTTGGAATACTCCTTTGAATTAATGTTATGATAAAGCGTTGTTGTATATTATCAGTGTACCAGTTTAATGAGATTTAAGACGTTGAAAACATTGTGTTTACGTTTTTAGGGACAATTCTATAGAGCTAATTCGAGGTGGCGCGCACTGGGTCCTGAAATGCAGACGTTCTACATAGGACGTAATAAACGACGTTTTGCCGTTGTAAACAGAACGTAGATCACGCGCCTAAAACTCCCATAGCTAATTAATAATTCATTTCTTTTCAATGAAGCATTGTATTGATAGCTGCCGTCGTCGTGTTACCGTCCTACATGCTTAAGGTCCCTATTCACTGACACGGTCCGCCAACGCTACGCGATTTTTACGAATTTCTGAGGTTTCAAAAGCAACAAAAACAGCAAAAGCAAGTTTGATCATGTTATGATATTCTTGATAATTACTGAAGGATAGCATACTTTGACATGTCTGGGGCCCATAGCTCTCAAAATTTCCCTCCAGAATTGAATTATTTTGCTTAAAAAAACCCCAAAAATTCGCGTTGCGTTGCGCCCAGTGTGTGTGGGCCTTAAGCCTGTTTTCCACCAGGCGAATTTATTTGCGCGATGCGATATCTGAAATGCGGTGCGGTGATTAGTTTGCGAAAAAATTTGCCGCGAAAAAGAAGAATCGCTTTCTACTTTTTATCAATCTGCACGAATAAATTGCCTATTGGAAAACGGGCTTTATACCACATAGTTTCTTTCGAAATTGTAAGACCAGTACATGTGAGTGTCAGAATGTTTTTTAGGTCAACGATTCTGGAATCGACATCACGTCCACTGGTACCAGAGTTTTCCAAAACTATTTAATAACGGACTTTATGGACTTGTTCAGAATATATAGGTTTTTTATATAAACCTTTAGATTTCCAGCTGAAACAGCTTGCTTGATATCCAAGCGTTTAAGTTCGAATCGTCTGTACCGCACATTTGAATTAACTAAGTCCGAAAATAAATCTCGCAGAGCACTTACAAATACTCTTGGACTAAATCTATAGGGCGGAGAAATAAGATAGAGTTGAATGGTTAGGATTGGTTATTATTTAGTACACTTTCTTTAAAGCGGCCAAAATGATCATATCGAATTGTCGTGAACAAGCCACCTTACCCGATATGAAATAGTCCGAATGAAAAAATAAGTAGATGAGATATAAGGTTGTATGCGTGCAGCATCTGTTTACCTTTCTCTGTTTCATCGGATTCCGGTGTGTCTACGGGCTGTAGAGAAATCAACTTACAATTGTCGTCTAAATTTTCTCCACAGGAAGTTTGAACGACGTTATTTTCATGTGATCTGTTCAATGTAAATTGTGACTTTCCCTTGTAAGTCGATCTTAACGTGCGACTGAAAATAGAAGAAAAAACCTTGGCCTTAATTTACGAAGAATAACACCCAGAGAATGATTTATATATCTTTGTCTTATATATATTACTCGGTCTTGTGAAAACTGGTGGGCGATCCGCTCCAAACAATTTGCTACTCGACGAATATGAATCAGCCGTATATATGTTTAGACCAGGGGCACATTATGAGTTAAGGGCATCACTGGCTCATTATAGAGCAAGTTTAAGACAGGTGATGATTACCCCATGCACTTTATAAAAAAACTATCTTTTGCATGACTGTTACTTTACCATGATTTTGAATGTTGCAAGTTCTTTTGGAAATGCTGTGCTTTTTCTCTAAACCTCTCAAGTGTATCTGAAAACCCTTTCTTTTTCCCAAACTGACTGCTATTTTTCTTGGATACAAGGGATGTATGGTGGTCACCACCAATGGCCTCGTCTTCTACATCCTGAAGGAAAATGGTATTACCGGTTCCATGACCATTGCAAAATTGCAACAGAAAACTGGAATGCTTACAACAAGCTTGGACCCAATATGTGTTCTAGTATACCACACTTGATAAAATGAGTAGAACTTTGACAATTATTGGCTTCCTATACAATATTCATTGGGGACAACTAAACATTTTTTATGCATCAGCTTGTATTCCATTTGGTATTCGGTAGTACTTATCATAGTTGGTAAGGAAAAATTTGTATTCATATGTTACTAAATCCGCTATATTTTAAGTCAACAATGTACAAAATTATTACAAAAGGCTGCTTTGCAAAAGGCTGTTTTTTTAAATTTAATTTTTGAAAATTAAGAACATTTAAAAACTCGATTTTACAGAATTTAAATGGCACAAGACCAGGAATAAGTATTATTGGTTAAACTGTTTAAAAAATTAGGCCAAAGACAAATTCAGGTTTGAGCAAAGTAAACATACCGGTGATGAACCACTGAATATAACTCTAAATGTTGTAAGATGCAACGTTCCTTCCACAGGAGAGAGATATGTTTCAACACATATTGCATCTTGCTGCAGCAAAATCTTCTCACCAGGTCGTCAGCTGAGGGTTAACATGGTCTATCTGAGAAATTTGTCAAAATTGAGGTTTATGTCTCAAACAGCTTTAAAGTTAACTAGGTCTATGTCCATTGCTAATTTATGTGGATATTGTGAATATTTTAATGTCAGTGGCAAAGCTACAAAGGTCCATCTGCATAATTTAGCATAATTTCAAAGTCACAAAGGTCTATCACATTTCCAAGATGGCTGCCAGAAAGCATGGGCGATTAAAAACTTTAAAGGAGAATGAAATCAGCGATTTATTGGAAAGGTAAGCCGTATTTTTCACTTTAATTGAGAAGACATTGATTACGAGAGGTCATATACGCTAAAATTGGACTGAAAATTGATATATTACATGGCCGAAAAAATGAAAATTAGTATCTACACTAACTTTAGCATTTTCATATTTTTGTATTTCAAATTGGACTTTATTTCTCACATCAGTTAAGAAGAAATAGGAATTTGAACTTAGATATGTTACCTGAAAGATACTAAGGAATTGGTCCCAGTATAATGATGAGTTTTATATGAATTTAGGTCGGATATTGTTGCAGATTATGCAGAGGATACCAGCGATTTTGATGAAAATAGTTCTGGTGTTGATGAGAATTTTGATCCAAGAGGAGAATTATTTGATGATGAATCGAGTTCAACTGATGGTAAGGTTTAATAGTAAGCTATTTAATGTGCATGAAATATAAATATTTTCATAATGCTTCCCATTGCCCATGCAACAAGGGACTACTTGGTGGAATTGATATTAGAATGCTGTTTTTGGGTTTTTTAATCCAAGTGAATATATATACACTTTAAGACCTGACCAGGAATGACTGCGAAAAATGCAGCACAAGGTCCTCTGGTAGGAATTGAACCTACGGCCCTCATTCAGATCAATTTTTACTGTAAATGTGACCCCGGTCGAGGGCTATGTCATCATTCTGTTACTTTGGTTGCCCGTGTGGGTGGGGCGGGGGGGGGGATGGTAAATATATACTAATCCGTTCTCCCGGTTCAGATATGTGCAGCAACAATGTCTAATATACCTTTCCCTGTGGGTGAGGACAATTACCTTTCCCTGTGGGTAAGGACATTTAGCCTTTCCTACAGTGATGAATATCTGCCGTTTTGGGTGGCAGTCGTTTTTTGTAAGACACATAACATTGTCTTTTTTTATCCTTTTTGGAGGCTTACAAAGATAAGTTTCCTCTGTAAATGGTTAGTTTATTTAAAAAAATGCTTTTCACATTTTTATAATTGTTTACACTAGTTTATGAAAAACGATTGCAATTCAAAAATTGCAGATATTTGTCATTGTAAGAAAGGTTAATTTCTCAGTCAACTCAATTCCTCATTCTCCTAGTCCACAGGTGGGTGAGTGGGATTTCCCAATATGTATGTGTTAATGCATTACAAAAATTCTTTGTCAATGCGTACACTATACTGTTGGGACACTGCCTCAACCAGATAAATTTACTTCTAAAGTATGTAAATGAGGTAAATATATTTTCCTCTTCCAAAATGTGATGTAGTATTTACTTTTTGTAGATCATGATGAACCCAATCAACAAGTTAGCACTGGTGAAAATTCTGTCCTGACAGACTTGCAAAATGTACCTGGTCAATTGCAACAGGAAGAGAGAACTGTCCACGTTCATCAACGCAATGGAGTTCCTCTGACTCGAAAGCGCCAGCGTAACCCGGCTAGTTGGAAAAGGAACATTAGAAAGAATAAAAGACAATCTGGAGAAAAGTATATAAACAGTCGTGGGAATGAGCAAGCTGCAAGGTCTGTGAAAACAAAGAAAGATTGTAGTAAATGTAAGTTTAAATGTAGTTCTAATGTTACTGTGGAAGATAGGTCTGCTATCTTCAATGAGTTTTGGAAAATGAGTGACAACGAGAAATTGCACTTTTATGGAAAAACAACCGAGCAAGAATCAACAAAAAGTTCAAAAGCTGGAACACCAAGCCGAAAGAAAAACAGTCTAAGTTATAGCCTTCCTGTTAATGCCCATAATGTTCGAGTCTGTAAAGTATTTTACTTAACGACATTGGATATTAACCACAAACGCATACAATATTATCATGCAAACAAACAGAAAATGTGTGGGACACCTACAAATTTGCAATGGGGAAAGAGTGCAAACAATGTAGTTTCACCAGAAATCAAGGACAGAATCCGCAAACATATAAATTCTTTGCCTCGTGTGGAATCCCACTACAATAGGGAGAACACAAAAAAAGAATATTTGCCTGAAGGTCTTAATGTCACAATTCTTTATGAAGAGTATGTGAAACAGTGCTCCAGTAATGGAGTCGCACCTGGTAAAATCCATCTGTACCGACAAATATTCAATGACGAATTTAACATTGCCTTCCATGTACCCAAAAAAGATAGATGTGATACATGTGAGGCAATGAAAATTCAGAATAATCCAGCTGAGGAAGACCAACAAAATTTTGAAGCTCACCTAAGAGGGAAGGAGGAAACTAAGACTGAACGAGACAATGATCGAAAGGATAATAACAAATTTACAGTGTGTTTTGATTTGCAAAATGTGTTTGCCTTGCCAACAGCTGAAGTATCGAACTTTTTCTACAAGAGAAAGCTTAATGTATACTTCATGACCGCCCACTGTTCAGCAGATAAGAGAGGATATGGAGCACTGTGGCACGAAGGGCAAAGTGGTCGAGCTGGAACGACATAGCCAGTTCAGTTCTAAAGATCCTAGAAGCTGTTGTTGAAGAAAATTCAGAGGATCCAAGAGTAAAGAACATCACTTTATGGAGTGATTCTTGCGTTCCTCAAAATCGAAACAGTTTTTTTTCTACTGCTATGAAAGTGTTCCTCAAAAATCATCCTAACATTGTGTCGATAGAGCACAAGTATTGTGAGCCTGGCCATTCTTCTGTTCAAGAAGTAGACAATCTTCACAGCCAGATCGAGGCTGTGTGTCGCCATAGTGAAATATACAGCCCTGTTGGATTGATGCGGATGCTAAAGAAAGTCCACAGAAGCAAGCCAATGAAAATTATCCAGATGAAGGCACAAGATTTCAAGGATTTTGGTTCCATTGCTCGGCAAGGAAAGTATGACAGGGTGCCATTCACCAAAGTCAAGAGTCTCCACTACAAGCAAATGGAACCCAAGATCCTTGGCTACAAGACCAAGTTTTCAGAAGAATTGGTTACAACGAATGTGCTCGAGCACAAGTCGACAAGAAGCAAAGTCAAAAACAATGTTTTCTATCAAGTAACCGACCCCACCATTGCTGGAGCTGTTGATGGTCTTAGCCAGGCTAAGAAAGCGGACATAAGATCAATGCTGAAATTTATGCCTGCCTCTGACAGAGAGTTTATGTCACTTCTTGTGTAACTAAACTTCTTTAGGATACAAGAAAGCCGTGACAGTAATGTTATTTAAACTTTGTGCCAGCGTATATTAGAAGTGAGGATATTGCAAGCACAACTACAGTACATTATGAACCTTTTAACTTGTGATTTTTATAAATATATATACTTATGTATAAATTATAGCTAAAAAGAAAGTAATTAACCTTTTTATATTATTAATATACTTACAATCCTCATAGTTTTAAATGTAGTAAGATTTGTACCGAAATTACCCAGAAAAATCAATAGAAAAGTAGATTATCAAAATTTAAACTGATGTTTACAATGTTGACAAGTTGACAAGTTGAATTGAGTGCAGACTTGTTAAAATAATTTTGCAGGTAAAATTTTAAACATTCAGAATTAACTAATTTTAGATAGACCTTTGTAACTCTAATTTTTCAAAAAATTCAGAGTCACAAAGGTCTATCTCCAAAAGTAGTACCGCTATTTCCCATAATTCATGCTGGGTGGCCAGGCACAAATAACTGTAATTAAACAACCTAGTGTATAGTATGTAGAAGATCAAAACATTTTGGTATTAAATTGTGTTCTATTCCTTTTATGAGCATGCCAACTTTCATTTGCCTATTTCTCAAAACTAGTCATAGAGCAGATAGACCTTGTTAACCCTCAGCTGACGAGGTAGTAATGTTGGATGTTTTGACAATTTCTTATTGGTAGCTGGAGCAAGGAGTGGCTTTAAAAAAATGAAGGTATAGAGGTAATATATAATTGAGTAGCAAATCATCTGCTTTTATTAACAGAATTCAATTTAATAATGAACTAATAGTGTTTTAGGAATCAGAACCATGTATTATAGTGATTATAATTTTTTCCAGGCATTAATGACCTTTGACTGTCAGGACATTTACATGAACTTGACTAAATGCAGTAATACAAAAAGCTCACTGGTCAGAAATCATTATTTGAAGTTTGTGCACATTTTTTAAAACTGAAAATTCCAAATAGATAAAAACAGTGTAAAAAAAGAAATGCCCATGTATTAATTTTTTGGTTTATTTGTAATGTGTATTTGTATGCACAGCCAAAACCAAAAATTCTTAAGAGGTCAAGGCTCTGCAAAACATATTTTCCTCCAAGGTCCTAAGTAAAAATATCTTACTACATACTAATAGCTCTATTATATATAAAAGATAGCAAATTAAAAAACTAGTGAATAAAATGCAAAAGATTGAAAGCACTAAAATTAAAATATGTTGTCAAAAGGTGCGTTTGACTTTTTCCCATTATCCCTGATCGGTCACCTATTAATCCCCTCTAGGGTCTGGATCTGCTTTGGGAAGATAGCAAAAATTCATTATTTGTGTAATATGATCTTGACCAAAACTCATTAGAAGGAGGGTTTTCATCTATTATTACAAATTGTATTCTTCTATATTTATACCTTATATTATTTCATATCACAAGTTAAGTTATTTCTTTAAACAAATCCATACAATAAGTTTGGCATTGTATGTGTTTCGGGAAGATTGTTCATAATATTAAAATATGGAACTGCCACCTCCGCAATAGATATAATCATAACTAGGGATCCAAGAATAGTGCAAAGTTTTCATGCCCTGTAATACCTAAGCAACCAGACGTTTGTCCCAACATAAACATTTTGACTTATGCCTGTAAAAATATAACGAACTAGGTTAAACATTAATCAAAAGGAAATTACTCAAAGTACTCAAATGACGTTAGCCGCGGATACTGTCACTATTAAATTATAGCTAATTTTAGTTGCCCATGTAAACCGGCCAAACCGGGCGCGATTTTCTCAGTGTAGTCTCTTTTCTTCGTCAAACAACTGTGACTACATTCACTACATTTATATGACGGCACCAATTTATCCGTCATTTCATAAGAATAGCCAAAATAGTTGCGTTGTAAATAATGTAAATAAACCGCGGTGCATATTATGTATATGATGTGGATACTTCGACGCGTAAAATCGATACAAAACAATATACTTATAATCAATACTGTATACCTCCAAAATGATTTGATTACTGCACAAAATGTCCGTTTTGTATGTATCATTTATGTACTGTATGCAGAATATCAGGTATCGACTTGCTATCGACATAATATACATTCGTGTAAGAGTCTATCAATACATATTAAACAACACAGCGTCGTTTCTTCCTAACCTCTTAGCTCTATTTATGGAATAAACCTTCCAAATTATATTTGTGTTGAATTGAATGCTCGTAATTCATAACATAAGTTGATAAAGTGCGTAGATTCTCAAAGATTTGCTCGATTTTTACGCCCGGAATGTTTTGAAGCAATGCTCGTCGCTCCTCGTTTCTTTACATCGTGAATAATGTTCAAGTCTCGACGGCACATGCGCAGTTGCGACGTGTAAGAAAGAATCGGGTGTTCCGGGGGGTAATTTTTGCAAATCCCTTTAAAACAAAACCCAAACCGCGGAAAAGCAATGCTTCAAAATTTACAGTAACCGCCAAAATCCCTCAATATTTTGGTGAACTTTGCAGAACGGGTATAGTGCATTAATAAATAAAGCATGTTAAACTGATTTATAAACCTTAAATTACTGATCATACACAAAAAGTTACTATACGCATAAATCAACCTACCCCCCGTAAAGTTTACACTATGACTGACTGACTGACTGACTGACTGTCTGACTGACTTACTGACTCGTTTGAATTTTCGCCACTCATCACAATACTGCAAAGTTTCTCAAACTTTGCACTAAAAATGGAGAAGCCACTGTTCGAAAAGTTCGTGTCTAACAGAACTTTGGTAAAATAATTTTCATACATGTAATTTGGTTGCCATGTCTAATGATACATAGTATAGGGCCTGGGGCAGAATTACCAGGTTGAATATATGTGTTGTTTAACCTTCATTTCACTGTACAGGGTGAAATAAAAAAATAATGTCATTCTTTACATTTATTAGAATATGTTGAAGACTTGTACAAGACAATGCTAAGTGCCGAAAGTGATCAGGTGGATGAGGCATACAAGGAGTTGGTAGATATGACACCAGATCCCATGAATTCTATGCTGCAAAAGCAACCAAGAAATGAAGCCATAAAGAAGATGCTTGATCGTCAAGAAATGGTTGTTGTCAATGTCAGACCCACTGCAGGTATTCCACATTTGCAGTATGTGTACTCTTTTCAAGGAATAAAAATATAGAGTGACAGTGGGAAATACAATGCAACATAAATTGTATGGGTATGTATAATAGTAAGTATATTATTTTATTTATTTTTTAGAGCCTTCTACTGTGCAGGTACAACCGGTAGCTCCTTGCGAGAATCGAGCAAAACCATGCTGTAGAACATGTGGCCAACCCATGAAAGGCCATAAAAAGGTTTCCAACTGTCCTCGAAACCAGAAGTAATGACAGGATGTATATATGTATATTTGTAAATATTTAATTGGTTCCTTAGTGATATTAAAATGCCTCATACTCAAGAACTTTGTTCTCAATTACAAAAGCTTTCCCAAAAAAGACAAGATGGAAAGCACTGGCAGGATGAGGGGAAATATTATTATGGAAGCCACTATTACAAGTCACTATTACAACTAGTATTACAAGTCATCCATCCCCGGTGATGTTAAATAAGCCTATAATAAGCATGTGTTTGTATAAAATTTTAATCCAATATTTTAAAACCTTTTCTTACAAGACTTTTAAACTAACAAGGCTGTGAAAGAAGAATTATATAGTTAGTGTCAAATATTATACCAAAGTATCTACATTAAATTAAGATGCGTTTTCGTCATCATCATCATCATCATCATCATCATCATCATCATCATCATCAAATCCCTGGTATTCCTTTCCACTGAATTTGCTGCGTATTACATGATAGGCACATGCAGGCAGTGGTATTCGTCTTTTTCCTAAGTAGCCATAAACAAGTTGTATATATTGTCTGTATGCAACACTTCGAAGATATCTGCAGAGTGAAACAAAAAAAATGTTGTTTACTTATTTGAGAATACTGAGTTTTCTATTATACCCATGTAATCAGTGCATTGTTAGCCAGGGATCAAGGTATTAGGTATGGAGCAATGCTGCATGTGCACATTTACTGTAGCCTAGCAGACTAGGATATGTAAACAGAAATCCATATTGTAATGCATTTCAAGTTTGATTGTTTAGTGCTAAAGTTGATGGGTTCCTGTAGAAGCATTGCACTGTTTATATAAACACAACATTGACTATTGGTACTACAAGAAGACATATATTACAACTCCATTCGGATCTTTACCTGTTTTCGTCGCTACCCATTTTATACTTTTGTCTGTCGATTCTTCTAAACTTTGGCCCAGCTAAGCGCAATGACCAAATAGATAAACACACATCGCTAAAGCCAGGATGAAGTGTGATGCATTTAGGGACCGCACTCATTTCTTGCATGATAATATCACTGCTGAGTGCCTCGCCACAGCCTTCTACTTCTTGGCAACATTTACTCTCTTTTTCGTTTTGCAACAAGTCGGTTTTACAATTCCCACATCCACACCTGCGGAAGGAAAAATGTAATAAAATAACCTAATACTGAACACGTGAGTTTAAACAGTGTAGGTAGTTTTACTCACCAGCCTTCAACAGATACACGTCCTTCGAGCCGGCCTCTAAGTACTCGAAGCCTATCGTCTTGATTGCGCCTTTCTTCGTAATAGTTTTCTACCCATTCAGTGTCAGCAATTGGTTCGTCTTGGTATGGTTGCATTAATTCTTGATCGCCTTGTGCTTCGGTAGCCAAAGGAGCGTCATCTTCAACTTCCATCATGTAGCTCGTAATAAAATTATTTTCTGATTCACTTTGGCTATCGATCGGATCAGTAAAGCTCGACGACATTGTCGTATCCGCCAAATTAAGCAAAACGCGGCAGGAAAGTTGGAAAGATACAACTCAAAGTCTATCTTCGCTCTTGCAATATGTAAATATAGTCTTTTATAACTTTGCAAGAAATGCGAGTTCTCGAAATGACGTCACAACCCGTCTCACAAGCGTTCTCGCCCTAGTCCTTTTAGGGTCACGGTTTTATTCAAAATCACCAACTTTGAGGTCCTCAAAGTCAATGAAGATGAAATTTTCGACCTATCAAATATATTGCAAAAAACTATCTAAAAAGTCTATTTCCCCAATCATGACATAGGCACTTAAATGAGTATTGCTGAAATTAATGCATCCTATAGACGACCAATTTAAATAGGCAATAATTATTAAAGACTTATGTATAATTGTTTGTGAACCACAATTTTTCATTTTTGTAGCTGAAAATGGTTCCAAGATTTTTAACATTTCTTGGATAACCAAGCAATGGGCTCTCGTAAGAATCCAGCACCAGGGCAAAAAGGAATGGGCCGAAATCTCGGTCCGACCAGTTGTTTACAAAGACAAAATTTCCTACGGAAAATGGAGACGAGTGTTCTTACACTCCGTAGTGAAGATTAAGACAGCTCAAGATGGTGCCCCAAGCACAATGGCATTCATAAACTTACCATCTGACGCATCATATGAAGTTCGAATGATGCCAATGAACCCCGATGGTGAAACCAGAACAGCTGTATATATGTTTTTAGATGCACAAGAAACCGCCGATAAAGGTTTGAACACAATAAAAAACATAAAATATATCTTGAATACAGGCAACCTGTCATGATTCTTTACTAAGAAAACCTGGATATGTTAGATCACTCTATAAATGTGCTTCTGAGAGGGGTCATTATAATTCGGAGTTATCATATGTGGAAGCGGATGAAGCATTAGACGTATCATGATGCATCTTGAAACTCAGAGGCGTTTGCATTTAATACCATGCACGTGTCAATACCAGAGTCTTTTTTAGTAAAGAGTTATCGGTGTTCGTACTAGAGGTCAACCTAACTTTCCAACACACAACTTCTTTATAGACTCCGTGCAGTATTTCTATGTATTTCTGAAGATCATTTGCGTTATTCTTTATGTCGTTCCAGGAGAGACAGTGAAGTTCAAAAACGTGTTGGCACAAATGAAGAATTTCAAGGTTACGTGGTGTCAGTATTGGCATGGTTGGTGGATGCATCGCGGTGCTTCTAATCCAGACTATCTGCTATTGTATCATGGGGTAAGGATTATTCAGATTACTTGTATACATGTTGTTCTTCAGCAAAAGCGGCTGTATTCAAAAAGTCAATAGGGTTATACAATTTGATTCGATAAATAAACTTTAACCAATCTGGTGAACAAAAACATAGATCATCAATTTGTAGAAACACCATGTACGTGCATGTATTTATTATATGCGCCGCTTTCGGGCCATTAACCCTGAAATTCATCAGTGCAATAAACTTTTGGACATATTGTAACAGCCCTATACACGTCCTTTGAATGGTTTAACTTTAAAGTTTCAAGATTTAATCATCCTATGCACTATAACTTATATGATTTAAAGATGAGCTTGGTATTTTGATGTTTCTTTCGAGAGCTGTGTTCAGTGTAACAGAATTTCACAATGTTTCATTGCTTTTCATTTGTGGCTTTTTAGAAGCTGCGCTAAATGCGCAAAGAAGCTGCGCATCCGCAGAAAACAAAATGCTGACGTGCCAACTGACGTCGTTATTGACATTGAGAAAGATAACGAGGTAAGTGTTGCTCGTATTCCACAAAAATATGACCATACGAGTAGAGGAAGAAATGGGAAGATATAGCGTTGTTGTTCCCTTTGAAGTGCCGAATTCTAAAATAATTAATTTGAAAATCGCGAGCTGGAGATCTTTTAGAGACAAAACAATGGACAATTTCCGGGTCGGAATACTTTCAAGAACAAACTGAAAGTACTAAAATGATGTAAAATACGGAAAATATATGCTGGTAAAATGCGAAATGTCATACTGAGAGAAAACGTCAATAATTCCGGCTCAAAAGTGCGTACTCTTTTTCTTTTTAGATCGAACAAGCTTCAGACGAAACAGAGACGACAGTCCTTGAAGCGAAAGAAACTGGCACAGAAGAGGCCAAGGAATAAAGCAGCTTTTGAAGATACAATTTTCAGTTTTTTATATGTTTGCATGTTAGATTTCTACAAGACTTCTACAAGACGTTCATGGCTCATGTTTGGCCGCATCGATAGCAGAGATGGCATTATGTGCGGGGACACAAGAATACAAATCCGTACATTCGAGTAGATATGACTTTCGTACAAGTATACAAAGCGAAAGAATTCGGAATCCTGAGGCCCGATATCATCACCATTTGCAGTCAAATTCTACTTTCCTACCGAAATTAAGATGGACTTCCGTGTGGATTGGAAGCACCTGTGGAGTGCGTGGTTAAAATGTCTCAACCGACTTGATCAACTGACTTCCTCTAAGGTACGTCACAACGGATCTTTGGACGACCAATGATGGTTACTCCACCGTGGGCCCAAACTGAAGCTCTACCAGTAACGAAACATCGCAAGAACGAAATCTGAATTTCAAGACGAAAGTAAAACATGGATTTGATTGCTGCATGCGATGTTTCAAGCGTGTTTGGGCTCGAGAAGCAGTTCGTGTATACGCATCTTCTGTTGTATGATACAAGTTTACTACGCAATTTGTTACAATGACGTGTTACCCGCAAGTGACTTGTGTTTGCCATAGTTTATTGCTCTCGATTAAAATTTAAGAAAATAATAGTATTAAAGGTGAAAATGTGTAAAATTGTATGGTGTCATTGCATGCTATTTGTAATAAACTAGATTTAATTAACAAAGTTGGGTATTTTGTATTTTTTGCGGGCGGCCTTTCTCCCAGCCGAACAGTGCTTGCAAAAAGCCCGTTTTCGGTGTTAATAAAATATTATTTTATTTTCTCGGAAAGATACATGTGGTATTCTATTGTTATTCTTTTTCTATAAAGCAATGGGGAAAAGACCTTCCATGGAGATGTACAAAACGCACGGTGGTACTGGAGCCCTTTCCTTACAATTCTCGCGGTTTGGTGAGAAAAGTCCCTAAAATTTGCCCTGTGGCTTTCTGCCCAGCCGAACAGTGCTTACAAAAAGCCCATTTTCGATGTTAATAAAATATGATTTTATTTTCTCGGAAAGATGCGTGTGGTATTCTATTGTAATTGTTTTTGTATAAAACAATGGTCAAAAGATCTTCCATGGAGATACCGTACAAAACGTACGGTGGGACCGAAGCCCATTGCTTACAGCTCTCTCGCGGTTTGGTGAAAAAAGTCCCTAAAATTTCTCAAAATAGAAAACGAAGCATCAAATATTTACGAGGAACATGCTCTTTAGCTTAGCACACAGCCATACTGTTTAGAACTCGCTAAATTCGCCGCTAAAATTATAAGGCAAAAACCAGTTATCATGCAGCATTTAATAAGCAAACAATTTTGAACAACTTGCGCCATTTGAAAGTTTAAACTTCACGTTACTATAGTCCAACAGGAAAAGGTAGCAAGCGGCAAAAAAGAGAAATAGCTTTTGTAAAACTATAACTGGTCCTTTGTGGGCAGATTCAGTTCTGTGCCTTTTTTTGTGTCTGAGTAAAAAACGAGAGGCACTGGGAAACTGGGAACAATTTTCTTTGATTGTTCTCGTTCCAACGCCACGCTCCGACGCAAGCAATTATGAACGTCACAATCTTTCAATTATAGCGTAAATTTATTTTGCTTCTTTCGAGTTTGACATAGCGCAATGAAGCAAGGCGATATTATGACATTTTTGGTAGCAATTTTTGGATTATTGATGATCCTTTTCGCAAGAAGGTTTTGCATTACGTTTCTGTCCTCCACGAACCATGGCTGTTTCCCTACGCGAGGCAGGAGACGCTGCTGAATGCGTTTGCCTGGAGGAATTCACTGGCCCACAATGCCAGTACAGAGGTAGGTCATTACTGCGTACTATATATCAACTTATAGAACCTTAAATGCAAGTTAATAATATGAACCTTTCGCATTTATATTAAGAACAGTTTAAAACCGATAGAGCTATATATCCAGTATAAACAAACTTAGTTTAGTTTAGGTTTCTTCATGTAGTATCACTGGATTAATAAGAGATGATCCTTTCCGGCCTTAAGTTGGGAAGAAATGTTTAAAGCTGATAGAGCTATCCTGCATGCATAGATAAGTTAAGTTAGTTTAGATTTCCTTTTGTAGTAACAATGGAGCAATAAGCGGTGATCCTTTTTTGTAACTTTTATATATAGAAATCGAATAGCTTTGCAAAGGTAAAACTGTTTTTAAACTAAATAGTCTTGAGAACGAGTGGATTAATTTGAGACTCGTCTTGTAGTAACACTCCTAAATTACACAACAGAATTAAACAGAGAAAGAAAAATATAAGAGTAGCTAATTATTTAAAAATAAAAGTTTTTATACGTAAAACTTTTGATCATGCACGTTCTTCAGCGCGTGCACATCAATTAATTCCCCATTCCAAGCGCGCGCCATTAATGGCTAATCAATATTACAGAATTTATCTTTAAAAATCTGACATCTCATATAAGGGAAAAATTGCTATTTTAGACCATAGTTTTCAAATTTTTTGAACTGAATAAAATGAACTGCTGGTCTAATATTCTGTTGTATCCTTTGCCAATCCCGTCGGAACATTGTTACTGAATTTCAAGTTCAGAATAAAATATTAAAGAATTTACCTTTCAAAATCTGACGTTTTATATAAGGGAAAAATTGCTATTTTAGATAAAGATTTTCAAATTTTTTGACCTTAATGAAATGAACTGCTGGTCTAATATTCTGTTGTATGCTTTGTCAATCCCTTCTCAACATTCTTGCTCAATTTGAAATCTAGCAAATCAATATTAAAGAATTTAACTTTCAATGTCTGACATCTCATATAAGGGAAAAATTGCTATT